ACTTGCCAACCATTCCTACAAAACCATGGCGCAACTCCTAAAATTACAACAAAAACAAGCATGATTTAATAAGGTTGAAAAGACAGTATGTCAAAATTTCATTAGTTACTGCCTTGTAATTAAGTGGTATAAATTTTTGCACCCACATTATCTCAGATGAGAGTTTTAATGTGGGGTTCAATTTGTAGCAGCAGTTGAGGGTGTGACTGTAGACAAATGGTTCAAATTACAGGACCTTTACAACGATGCCAACTTCTAGGCTCTAGAGATCTAAAATTTAGAGATTCTGTCTCTTGTATTACCCCCTTCCCACCCCGCCAATATATACGAATTGACCCAGTCTCCAAATTATAAGACCTGCATGTGGCTCTGCAAATTATACCAAGTCTAACATGAGGTACAGACCAAAATTATCTTTTAATAATGTTGTGATGACATAATGATCAAATATGTGAAAAAAAAAGCCACAGCAAGCATACTTTTTCATTGAAAAAATTTTGAATTCGGGGGTAAATGGGCTTCATTTCAAACTAAGGCACAAAAAAGCTCAAAAGCTGTTTTTTACCTGGGAGATTTGGAGACCTGTACAATGGCAGGTACAAAACAAAGGTCATAGCTGGTCAAAATTACAGGTCACTGCTCTTGTGAAAAAACTCAGGGAAAAAAATTTTGCCTTAAGCTAACAAAGACTCTCTTTTGGATTACGATTAGGGCTAGGAGGCACTTTTAGTGTTGTTTGTTTATCTTAGCACAATTACCTGTACTCTAACCTGCACTTGTGACCTGGCAGGTACAAAACACAGTTCACAGGGCACCGGTCAATAGTGCAGGTCACTACTCTATTGATAAATAACTGAGATAAGCAGTTTCCCTTAAGCTAAAACTCTATTTTGCAGGGGCGGATCCAGGATTTTTTTTAGGAGGGAGTACACTCGTCTCTTGCTCTACTTCAACACAAATAAACCACATAGTTTTTTTTTTTTTTTGTAGAATACCAGTTGTATTAGAAAATTGCAGGTCATCTCAGGGGGGGGGGGGGGGGGGGCCCCCCCCCCCCCCCCCCCCCTATTTCCCCCCGTTTTTGGTTTGGGTTTTGGGTGGGGGAGACCTCAAAGGGTTGTTTTTTTTCTCAAACAAAAGTGCCTTTTTTTTTTTTTCTGTTTTTCGGCATGTACTTTGTGCCCTTTTTTT